GTATTTTTTTTTGCTTTTGTTTTGATATATCTGTGGCTTAGCTTTGTCCCTCTCTCTTTATATTGTCTACCTTCCTATGTATTGTTTTAATTAATGTTTTGTAGTTTGGTCTGTGTATGAGTATGATGCTGCCAGTTGGTTGGTGTTTCTATGGGTTTGGTGCTGTCATTTGGCTGGGTGTGTTTTCTTCTCACTGGTGGGTATGGTGGGTTGCACACACACTGGGGTCTTGTGTTCTTGGGTATGTATGACTTCTCTTAGAGGATTACATGGTGGTGCACAGACAGGTCCTTTTCCTGACGTGAGGTGCCAGGTGTCGAGTGGTCAGTATCCTTTCACAGCTCTTGAGGTATAATGCATTCCCTCTGCATTGGCACAAGCAATCAGTGTGACCCCTGAAGTGTAGGATGGGATGCAGGGAGGGGCAGGCAGGATAGGGTGCAGAGGCCTGTGCAGCTGGGGAGGGATAAGCAAGGCACAGGGTCCCACTCTGTTGGGGGCAGGTCGGCAGGGCAGGGAAGCAAGTCTTGCTCCAAGGTGGAGGGGGCTGGCAGGGTAGGGTAAGAAGTCCTGCCTAGCCAGGGAGGGGTTAACTGGGCAGGGCACTGGGTTCCCACTTGGCCAGGGAGGGGCTGGAGGGACATGAAGTCCTGCTGGGCTGGGGAGGGGTTGGCTGGGAAGGGCACAGAGTCCTGCTGGGCTGGGGGGTGGGGTCTGGAGGGCAGGGCATGGAGTCCCACTCAGCTGGGTAGGGGTTGGCTGGGAAGGGTGTGGAGTCCTGTTCAGCTGGGGGAGTTGGCAGAGGAAAGCGTGGAATCCTACTTGGGGGAGGCAGGGTCAGTAGGGCAGGGCATGAAGTTCTGCTCAGCCAGACAGGGGTTCGGCTAGGCAAGGCACAGAGTCCTGCTCAGCTGGGGGGCTGCGGTCAGCAGGGCAGTTAGGGGTTTGGCTGACGGCATGGAATTCCACTCAGCCATGGGGGGTAGGGTTGGCAGGGCAGTTGGGGGTCAGCTTGGCAGGGCACGGAGCTGCTTGGCTGGCTAGGAGTCTGTAGGGCAGGACATGGTGTCTTGCTCAGCTAGGGGGAGGGTTCAGCAGGAGAGGATGTGGCGTCCTTCTCAGCTGGGAGAGGTCTGTGGGTGGGAGGGGAGGGGGCCAGAGGCCCTGCTGCCTGGGATTGGGGGAGGGACAGAGGGAAGCCTGCTGGGGTTTGCACAGAAGGTCTGTACTTCTAGGAGTGGAAGAGGGCAAGGTGAGGTTTGTGTCCATTAACACATCTGGGAAGGGTGGGGAGTGATGGGGATCCTACAGGGACAGGAGGGGGTGTCGGTTTACATAGGGCCAGTTGCTGGGGCAAGGGGTGCCTTCTAGTTGTTAATCTGAGGGTTGACTTTTTGCTGGGTGTCTCCAGTTAAATGGCCAGGCGCCACCACTGACAAGCCATCTTTGCACTAATTCCTATCTTCCTCCCTTCTTGCACTTACCAGAGGGACTGGAGCTGATGCCTGCCCTTCTCTTCCTCCCCTTTGCTTCCCTGCAAATGTGTACTCCCTATCTATTTTCTGTCTTCTTCCCTTAAGCTCTGATGATTCAGTCTCCCTCCCTTTGTTCTAGAAGCACTTCCCTGTGGTTCTCTGGCTTCCAAACCATGCCACTCCCGCAGTTGACCCTCTCAGGGGTGCCCTGCCCAGGACAGGTCCTGCCCACCTCATTGTATATTTCCAGGGTTGTTTGCACAGAATCTCTTCCACCCTTCCACTGGCTGTGTTCTCTTTGAGGTTGCTTTCTTGGGTTCCTTACTCGAGGTCCTTGCTTGATGCTGTGCCGTGCCGGTTGGCAGGGTGTGGTCTATCCACGAATCTCTGTTTTCCTTCCAATCGGTGCTCAGTCTATTTCTTCAACTCTCCACTGGATGTACTGGCATCCGAGGTCGGTATTTTTGTCTGTTTTACTTAGTTTCTCAAGTGTGTTGTTAGGGGTCATTATGATGCATCTGCCTAAGCCTCCATCGTTAACTGGACTGGCGGTTGGTTTTTCATAAAAGCCCTTAATCATGTTGAGGAACTTTCCTTTTATCCCTATCTTGTTAAGAGTTTTTATCAAGAAAGGGTGTTGGGTTTTATTGAATGCCTTTTCTGTATCGATTGAGATGATCATGTCGTTCTTTTCCTCTGTTCTATTAATGTGTTGTATTACATTGCTTGATTTTCAAATGTTGAACCAACCTTGCGTTCCTGGAATAAATCCCACTTGATCATGCTTTATAGTTTTTAATATGCTGTTGGATTCTGTTTGCTAGTATTTTGTTGAAAATTTTGGCATCTCTATTCGTAAGGGATATTAGTCTGTAGTTTTCTTACAGCATTTTTGTCTGGCTTTGGTACCAGGGTAATGCCGTCTTCATAGAAAGAGTTAGGGAGTATTTCTTCTTCTATTTTTTAGAAGAGTTTGAACAGGATTGGCGTCAGTTCAATAGAATTCCCCAGTGAAGCTGTCTCTTCCTAGACTTTTCTTTGTTGGGAAACTTTTTAATACTGATTCAATCTCTTTGCTTATCATGAGTGATTTGTCTTCTTAAAGTCCACATGCCAAACACTATGCTGAGGGAGAACCCAGCAGGCTTTTGGGCTTCTGATTAGACCACACTGAAACTCAGCGTGTTTGTCTTATGGATTGCTATAGGATATTCCAGAACATTATTTTGATTTAAAAAAAATATTTTTGTTGTTACATTTCATAACTGTTAAATGCAGAGTACTGATCTTGGCTAAATGTTTTACTAGACCCAGACAACTCTGGTTCCCCACTCAGAACATTAGCATTTTCTCCCAGTGTCTAAATTTGAACTAAGAACAAAAATTGTTGATTATATTTTTCTTGTTGTTACTTTTGTGCCAACGATTTTATGAAAATTTTCCAAATTTACAGTAAAGTTGAAAGAATTTTGCAGTGAAGACCCTATATCCACTACCTGTATTCTACCCTTAACATTTTTCTATACTTACTTTATGTTATATCTATCCATCCATCAATTTATCTTTGTAACATGTATTTCAGAGTAAATTGGAGAGAGTTGTTTATGTCTTGAGTTGGTTTTCTAAGTACTGACAGCATGAGGGTTACTATCATGTCTCAGGTATAACCTTCACTCTACAACCCCAAAGAAGTTGAGCTTGATAATCTAATGGAGTCAGCACAAATTTTGGAACTAGGCCTTGGGAAAATCACTGAAGTCACACCTCCCTGGTTTTAGTTTCTTCATCTGTAAAATGGGAATAATAATCCATCATGGTGTTATTGATAAGGTTAAGTGAAATGAAATATATAAAATACTGTGGTGTAGTGGATTGCTTTTGTGTGGATTTTCTAGCCATGGTCTTGTAACTCCCACCCAAGTGATTGGGCAGGACTATGTGATAGGGTAATTGTGGCCCACCAAAGGGATTGGTCAGTTTTGCCATCCCGGGGGGCTTGAAATGAACCACTTCAGAGGCAGGAAAGAGAAGATCCCACCACCACCAAGGAAGAAAAGCCAGGAGCCAGCATGTCCTTTGGACCCAGGATCCCTGCTCTGAGAAGCTCCTGGAACCAGGAGACAGAGAGAGAAAACTGTAACACTAAAGACAGCAAGAAGTGACAGCAGAGACCCAGCAGCAGGAGATGGTGTGGTGGGCTTCCCGCCCATGGAGAGAGAAAGCTGAGTGTCTTTGGGCAGAGGCCAAGGACCAGGGAGAGGCGTGTCTGTGAGCACGGCGGGGAAGAGGCTGTCCTGGTGGAAGAACTGTATCCTGAGTGTTCCTGAGCCTGAATTGTAATTGTTATTTCCCTAATAAAACCCATAATCGTGAGTATTGTCTGTGAGTCTTTGTGGCCATTGCAATGAATTATCAAACCCAGAGAGAAGTAGAGAGTGCAATGGGAGGGACGGTTGGTGTCAGAATTGGTAAAGATGGCGAAGAGAGGAGGCATGTCTCACCCCAGCCTCATAGGAATCAGCCTTGGGCTGTTGATCTTGATTCTCCTTCCCAATTGTGAAATTAGAGGAGGTCAGACACTATCCCCACAACGTTTTTACAAATACCCAGCACTTACTAGGCAGTCAGTAATTGGTGGCAGCACGACTAGGTGATATATAGTCTGGGGTTTGGAGTCACGCTGTCCTAGCAATCCTGGTGTGGGCACTTAATAACTGTGCCACCTTGGGCCAAGTCACCAAACTTGTCCAAACTTCAGTTTTCTTATCTGTAAAATAAGGATAATACTACTACCATGCATAATTATTGTAAAGATTAGAGATGGTACACATGGTACATAGTAGGTAATCAATGACATATTTCATTAGGCAAATCCTCTGCAAAAGACCACTTTAAAGTGTTAAAAAGAAAAGATGTCATTTTGAGGACTAAGGTACGCCTGACCCAAGCCATAGTATTTTCAGTTGCCTCATATGCTTGCAAAAGCTGGACATTTAATAAGGGAAACCAAAGAAGAATCAATGCATTTGAATTATAGTGTTGGCAAAGAATATTGAATATACCATGGACTGCCAGAAGAATGAACAAATCTGTCTTGGAAGAAGTACAGCCAGAATGCTCCTTAGAAGCCAGGATGGTGAGACTTTGTCTTCCATACTTTGGAAATGTTATTAGGAAGGACTAGTCCCTGGAGAAGGACATCATGTTTGGTAAAGTAGAGGGTCAGCAAAAAAGAGGAAGACCCTCAATGAGATGGATTGACATAGTGGCTGCAACCATGGGCTCAAACATAGAAACAGTTGTGAGGATGGTGCTGGACCTGGCATTGTTTCGTTCTGTTGTACACAGGGTTGCTATGAGCTGGAACCGACTCGATGGCACTTAACATCAATAGCATATTCATTACATCAACAATATAGATCTTTGTAAATTATTTGATCATTTTCTCTCCCAGGACCACTTTCATGACCTGGGGGTTCTAAGAAAACATTTACATAGGTAATAAATGACAAATGTACTTTATAGGTAACCACATTCTCCCAGATGAGGACCTGGCCACTTTTCACTGGAACCTCTTCAGACCAGAGCATCCTCTTGCATCTCTTAAGGTAACATGCCCAGTTTCCTGCCTATACACATTAGGGGATATCAGGTTTTGATCAGAGATTTGATAGAAAAATTGTCTTTCATCAGATTTAAAATATTTCAAATACTCACAGACAAAAAATTACAGTTATGGTCAATACCCTTAGTATTTTAAGGTTTCATACAAATCTATGAAGACAAATACTAACACTCCAATAAATAATTATGAGCAAAGGACATAAGCAGACAATTCACAAAGGAGGAAATACAGTGGCTAATAATATGACTAGATATTAAACCTCACTAGTGCTCAGATGAACAAATTAAATAAGCAGTGTGATTGTAAGGAGCCCTGGTGGTGCATTGGTTAAAGCGCTCTGCTGCTAACCAAGAAATGTTGGCTGTTCAAATCCACCAGCTGCATGGCGGGTCAAAGATGTGGCAGTCTTCTTCCATAAAGATTTACAGCCTTGGAAACCCTATGGGGCAGTCCTACTCTGTCCTATAGGGGCACTATGAGTTGGAATCGACTTAAAGGCAGTGGGTTTGGGTTTTTTGGTGATTTTTTTAACCTAACAAATTACCAAATACTGAAAAATTAGTCTACCCACTGCTATCAATGGTGTGGTGAGACTGATATTCTCATATATTTCTGGTGATAGTATAAATTGACGATCATATTATATTTCCCTAGTCCTTTCACTCTCCTAGACAACTGCAATGAAACCTGCGAGCGCTGGAACTTGATGAAACTGCCTTCTTTTTCCAGGTCTCGCAAGTTTTCTGCCTTCGACAGGGTGCAGCTTACCACTTTTCTACCACTCTCTATTAGTGGGAAATATTTGAGTTTTCCTTCTCTAACAGGTTGCCACCTTACACAGGTTTTGGCTTTCACAGATTAACTCTATTTCATACCTTCTCTCTCCTCAAACCTCTCACACTTCTTCCTCTTTACTCACTCTCAGCCCGTGACCTTGCTTCCTATTTCACTAACAAAATTGAAGCAATTGGAAGAGAACTTCCAGAAACTCCCACTCCCTCATCTTCTCACCTACATGCATCTATGTGCTCACATGCTCTGCCCACATGCTCTACCCACATCCTGTTAACTGTCTATGTTCCTATCTAAGGCCACCCCCTCCACTGATACACTAGAGCTCATCCCTTCTTACCAACTTAAAGATATCACTTCAATAATTCTCTTTCTCTTGCATCATCAGTTTTCCTCTCTTCACTGCATCTTTCCCATTAGATATATAAGCATACACTCATATTAAAAAATAAAACAAAAAACACTCTCTTGACCTCACTCACCCTCCCAAGCTACTGCTTCATATTTCTTTTTCCCTTACAGCAAACTCCTCTAAAGAGTTATCTATACTTGAGCTGTTTACTGTCCCTTTCCCCTCTTCTTTCTTGATTCAGCTTTGCCAAAATTGCTCTTGACAAGGTCAGTAATGACCTCCATGTTAACAAATCCAATGGCCTGCTCTCAGTTCTCATCTTATGTGACCAATCAGCAGCATTTGACACAATTTCTCACTCTCTCTTCCCTGGAAAACTTTCTTCACTTGGCTTTATGGACACTACTCTCTTCTGGTTTCCTTCCTACTTCACTGGCTGCTGATTCTCAGTCTCCTTTGCTGCTTCCTTTTCTTCTTCCCTACTTCTTAACTTTGAAGTGTTCCAGAGTTCTGTCCTTGGGTTCCTTTTCTTTTCTGTCTACACCCACTGCCCATTTGACTGATCTCATCCAGTCTCATGATTTTAAATACCACCTTTCCATTGATGATGCCTAAATTTACATCTCCAGCTCTGACCTCTCTCTTGAGCTTCAGATTCTAATATCTAACTGCCTACTGAACATCTTAATTTGCATATCTAATAGGCATCTCAAACTAATATGTCCAAATGGAAACTCCTGATCTTTCTCCTAAACCTGTTCCTCCCACAATCTTCCTCATTTTTGTTAATGGCAACTTCATCCTTCCAGTTGCTTAGGCTAAGAAAACTTCGGAGTTGTCCTTGGCTTTTTTCTGTCTTTCTCATGCTCCACATTTCAACTGTCAGCAAATACCATTTGTTCTCACTTCAAAATATGTTCACTTCTCACCCTTTTCACTGCTACTACCCTGGTCATGCCATCATCATTTCTTGCCTGGACTGGTCTTCTGTTTGCACCCACCCCTACCCCCTACCATCTATTTCAACACAACAGTCAGAGTGATCTTTTTAAAAACTGACTCAGATCATGTCACTTCTCTATTCAAATTCCTTCAATGGCTCTTTATGTCACTAAGAGTGAAAGGCCAGTCCTTACCATGGCCTATGAAGCCCTATACTGTCCAGCCCCCTGTTACATCTCTGATCTCATCTTCCTTTTTCTTTTGCTCTCAGAACCTTTGCACTTACAATTCCTTCTACTTGAAATGCTTTTACCTCCCACATAGCTATTTCATCTCTCCTATAGTTTTTCTTAAATGTCATTTTCTCAGTGAGGCCTTTCCTGACCATCCTATTTAAAATTACATGCACACACACACACACACGTGCATTTCTTAGCCCCTTCTCTACTTAGTTTTTCTCCATAGCACGTATCACCATCTAGCACACTATACATTTTATTTATATTTTTGCTTGACTCCACCTACCCCATCCCAACACACCTACACTAGAATTTGAGCTCCTTTGTGGGCAGGGACTTTTGCCTGTCACGTTCACTGCTTTATCTCTGGTGCCTAGGACAGTGCCTGGTACATGACAGGCAATAAATATTTGTTGAAGTAATGAATGGTACAGCTTTTTGGCAAAACAATTTTATATCAAAAGCCTTTAAGAAGTTTATAACCTCTGATTCAATAATTATAGTTCTAGGAAGTTTGTAGTTAAATAATTGGAAAGTGGACCACAAATCATATATCCATTTCATCACAGAACTTTAAAGAAATTAAAAAAAAATCTTCAGATCCAACGGTTGTCAAGATTTTGCCACACTTACTGGTTTCGTTGTTGTTGATGTATTTTAAAGCAAATGCCAAACCTTAAGCCTTTTCACCCCCATATGCTTCGATAAACAAAAAAACCAAACCCACTGCCGTCAAGTCGATTTTGATTCATAGCTACTCTATAGGACAGAGTAGAACTGCCCCATAGTGTTCCAAGGCTGTAAATCTTTACAGAAGCAGACTGCCACATCTTTCTCCCATGGAGCTGCTGGTGAGTTCAAACCGCTGACCTTTTGGTTAGCAGCCAAGTGCTTAACCACTGTGCAACCAGGGCTCCTATATACTTTGAAACGCATCTCTAAAATACATGGGCATTTTCTTTTTGTTGTTGTTGTTGTTGTTTATTGTTATAGTTTAAGTGAAAGTTTACATTTCAAGTTAGTCTTTCATACAAAAATTTATACATACATTGTTATGTGACCCTAATTGCTCTCCCTATACTGTGACAGCACACTCCTCCTTTCCACCCGATTTCCCATGTCCATTTAACCAGCTCCTAAGCCTCTCTGCCTTCTCATCTCTCCAGACAGAAGCTGCCAATTTAGTCTCATGTATCTACTTGAGCTATGAAGCACACTCTTCACGAGTATCATTTTATGTCCTACAGTCCAGTCCAATCTTTATCTGAAGAGTTGGCCTCAAGAATTGCTTTAGTTCTGGGTTGACAGAGAGTCCAGGGGCCATGCTTTCTGGGGTTCCTCCAGTCTCAGCAGACCATTAAGTCTGGTCTTTTTACTAGAATTTGAGTTCTGCACCCCACCTTTCTGCTGCTCCATCCGGGACTGTCCGTTGTGTTCCCTGTCAGGGTGGTCATTGGTGGTAGCCAGGCACCATCTAGTTCTTCTGGTCTCAGGCTGATGCAGTCTCTGTTTTATGTGGCTCTTTCTGTCTCTTGGGCTAGTACTTTCCTTGTGTCTTTGGTGTTCTTCATTCTCCTTTACTCCAGGTGGTTGGGACCAATTGATGCATCTTAGATGGCCACTTGCTAGCTTTAAAAGACCACAGATGAAAAACATATGGGCATTTTCTTACATAAGCACAATGCCATTATCACACCTAACAAAATAAATGATAATTCCTTGATATCATTTTAATATTTAATTCATTATTAGATTTTCTTGATTATCTCAAAAAGGCCTTTTTGTGGTTGGTTCAAATAAGGATCCAAACACAGTCCACACATCACAACATTACTTTTAGTAACAGAACACTGGAAGCAGCCAATATGTTTCACACACATGCACAAAAGATTAATTATAGCGGTGTCATAAAACAGTGGTGATCCATTTCTTAATACTTTACGGTTTTTTCCAAGTATTCTGTAGTGAGAATAAGGAAAGGGAACCCCTATTTTTAAAGAAAAGGTTTTAACTCTCTTTCAGTGGATTTACTGAATTTGAATTCTGTATCTCACCCCCACCTCACTCTTTTTCTTAGTGATCCATCTTTGATGTCAGTATCCCTTGCTTATCTTGCCTTTCCTCTAGGCCTGAGCTCATCAGCTGGTTCTTCCTCCCTGTGATATGGTGATCAAAGCTGTTTCCAAGTATTTTAGTTCCATCAAAGACCCCTCAAACCTGGATGTAGTTGGGAAGGATGTTTTCAAACAGTCTCAGGTGAGCTAGCTTCCTCCTTCTTAAGAGCTGCTAGTTTTCTTACCTCCTCTGGCATCAATAGCAGATCTCCTGATCTTTTCTGTGATCCCTAACTTCTCTCCTCCTAGCTGCTTGTCTTCTCCATGCTTACAGACTGGAACCTCAAAGTTTCCTTTAAAAAATATTACTAGGCCCAAATTTAAAGGATTCTTTACTTTTTTCTTCTTCTGATTATCAAGGTAATATAAGCTTATTCTGGAAAACAGAAAATAAAGAAAACAAGTCACCTATAATCTCATTACCCAGAAACAACTTGGCTACAGTTAATACTCTAGCATGTATCCTTCTAGTCTTTTTTTTCAATGCATATTTTAACATAAAAGAGGTCTTGCTTAGTTCTTGACTGGGACTTTATGTTGTGAAATAAAACTAAAAATTATGAAAATAAGTTATTTTTATTTTTAACAATTTAATTTATACTTGTAACCCTGTGGCCTTTCTTTTCAATTTTATTGTTTAAATTAACATATAGTAAACTTGACTTTTGTGCATGTCTGTGTACACATCTATGAATTTTTAATGCATGTATAGACTCAATGGCAATGGGAATAGATTTATGTAACCACCACCACAATCAGCATACAGAACAGTTGTAGCACTCAAAAAAATCTGTCTAGTATTATCCCTTGGTAATCACACCCAACCCCAACCCTAACCTCTGGTAACCACCAGTCTCTTCTCTGTCACTATATTTCTCTCTTTTAGAGAATCATATGAATTGAATCATATAATATGTAATATTTTGAGACTGGCTTCTTTCATTCAGCATAGTGCCTTTGAGATTCATCCGAGTTATTGCGTGTATCAGTAGTTCATTCCTTTTTATTGCTGAGTAGAGTTTCATTGTATAGACATACCACCATTTGTTTATCCATTCACCCCTTAAAGAATATTTGGGTTGTTTCCAATTTTTGGTGATTATGAATAGAGATGCTATAAACATTTATGCACAGGTTTTTGTTATAACATAATTTTTTATTTTTCTAGCGTTAATACCTAGGGGTAGGATTTCTAGGTCATATGGTAAGTGTATGTATAACTTTCTAAGAAACTGCCAGACTATATTCCAGAGTGGCTGTACCATTCCTCACCAGCACTTGGTATTGTCAATATTTTTTTAAACCATTCTAATAGGTTTTTAGTGGTAGATCATCATAGTTGTAATTTTCATTTTTTAAGTGACTAATGATGAACATTTTTTCTTGTGCTTATTTGCTGTCCATATATACTTTTTGATGAATGATCTGTTCAAGAACAGTTTTTTGCCTATTTTTAAATAGGGTTTTTTTTTTTTTTTTTTTACCTATTGTTGAGTTTTGAGAGTTCTTTATATATTCTGGATACAAATCTTTTGTTGGATATCTGGTTTGCAAATATTTTCTCCCAGTCTGTAGCTTGTCTTTTCATTCTCTTAACAGTCTTTTCTAGAGCAAAAATTTTTAATTTTGATGAAGTCCCAATTTATCAATTTTTATCTTTTATGGATCATGCTTTTGGTATCTTGTCTAAGAACTCTTTGCTTAACCTCAGGCATGACACTTTTTTATGTTTTACATGCAAAGCTATCATCCATTTTGAGTTAATTTTTGTATAAAGTATGAGGTTTGAGGCAATGTTATATATATATACAGACATATATATACATACATATATATATATATATATTGCATATGGATGTCCAATTATTTCAACACAGTTGGTTGAGACTAACCTTTCCCCATTGAATTGCCTCTGCACCTTTGTCAAAAATCAATTGGCCATATTTATGTGGGTCTATTTCTAGACTCTATCCTATTGAGTTGAACTATTATTTGTTTATCCCTTTGCCCATAGCACACTGTCTTGATTACTGTAGCTTTATGGTATTAGTCCTTGGGTGGCACAAATAGTTAAACATTGAGCTGCTAACTGAAAGATTGGTGGCTTGAACCCACCCCGAAGCACCTCAAAAGAAAGACCCGGTGATCTGCTTCTGAAAGGTCAATAAAACCCAAACCCATTGCTGACGAGTCAACTCCGACTCATAGTGACCATGGTCATAGACATGAAAACCCTATGGAGTGTAGTTCTCTGAAACACTTGGGGTCACCAAGTTTTAGTTTGGTATGGTAAGTCTTAAAGTTGGAATTGTTTTAGATATTGTAGTTCCTTTGCCTTTCCATATAAATTTTAGAATAATCTTATCTGTTTCTGCAAAAATATTGTGCTATGATTTTGACTGAAATTGTGCTATATATATAGATCAATTGGTTAAGTCTTCCAATCCATGGATACAGTATGCCTCTCCATTTATTTAGGTTATCTTTACTTTCTGTCATCAGTGTTTAATAGTTTTTAGTATACAAGTTCTGTACATGTTTTGTTAAATATTTCATATTTAAGGAGCTGAGCAATGGTTAAGCGCTTGGCTACTAACTGAAAGGCTGATAGTTCAAATCCACCCAGCAGCTCTGTGAGAGCTATCTGCTTCCGTAAGGATTACAGTCAAGAAAACCCTATAGGGCAGTTCTACTCTGTCACGTGGGGTTGCTATGAGTTAGAATCGACTCAACGGCAACCAAAACATTTCATATTTGGGGCACCTAATATAAATGATATTGTTTTGATAATTTCAGGTTCCAATTGTTCATTCTACTGTATAGAACTATGATTGTTCTTTGTGTGTTGACCTTTATCCCATGAAAATTCTACACTCACTTATTAATTCCAGGTGTTATTTTGTAGATTTCTTGAGATTTTCTGTGTAGATGGTCATGTCATCTATGAATAGCAACAGTTGTATTTCTCCCTTTCCAATCTGTATGGCTTTTTTTTTTCTAACTATACTGTCTAAGACTTCCAATACAAAGTTGAATAGGTGTGCTGAAACTGGATATCCTTGTCTTGACCCTGGTCTTTGGGGAAAGTATTCAGTCTCTCATTAAGTATGATATTAGATGTAGGTTTTATAGATGCTTGTTATCAGTTTTAGGAAGTTCTCTTCTATTCCTAGTTTGTTGAGAGTTTTTATCACGAATGAGTGGTGTATTTTGTAAAATACTTTTTCCCCTTGCATCTATTGATATGATCGTGTGGTTTTTCTTCTTAGCCCATTAATATTTTAGATTGATTTTTTTAATTTATTTTTTAAATTGAACTTTAGATGAAGGTTTACAGAACAAACTAGCTTCTCATTAAACAGTTAGTACATATATTGTTTTGTGACATTGGTTAACACCCCCACGACATGTCAGTACTCTCCCTTTTTGACCTTGGGTTCCCTATTACCAGCTTTCCTATCCCCTCCTGCCTTCTAGTCCTTGCCCCTGGGGTGGTGTGCCCCTTTAGTCTCGTTTTGTCCTATGGGTCTCCCTAATCTTTGGCTAAAAGGTGAACCTCCAGAATGACTTCATTACTGGGCTAAAAGGATGTCTGGGGGCCATAGTCTCGGGGTTTCTCCAGTCTCTGTCAGGCCAGTAAGTCTGGTCTTTT